AGTTAAAGTTTGTATAAACTATTGTAGGAAAGAAGCTAAACACTAACATCAAGCCACTGAGGTTAAACCTACTAACTCCCACTGGGGCTTACCACTTACAGCCCAAACAAAAGTAACCCCTAAAGCCTAGCTGTCACTTGTTAAACAAGGGCCATTGCTAAATTGCCCTCATTTAAGTTTTATTAACCAAGTCCTTAAAGACAAAATAGAGCCTCCCAATTGTGCATTATTCCCTAAACAGACCCGGCCCAAAACTAAGACAACTGTCACTGGTCCTTACCTTGGTAATGTTCCACACTGGTATAGACCAGCTGTGTGCTAAACTGGCTAATAGAATTGGCAAGTGCCTAATTAGGCAACAATGAGGCTTAGCAGATACCATCGCAGATTAGTTTAGGCCTAAAAACTCTGTCAGTAGCACTTATGTCTAAGCTGGTAGATGCAGTAATATCCAGTGCCTGTAAAAGCCTAGACACTAGCCAAGCTAATCAAGTGAACCTAAATAGTTTAAAGAATCTGTTCAGCTCTGTGTCCACTTCACTAAACCTAACCAAATATTTAAACCAGAAACTAATTAGATTGTTAATTAATCAAACTAAATTAAAGAAATTAAAAAGCCAGTATTAAAGAACAAAGTAAGCTTTAGCCACTACCACCCAACCCTTATAGAAGTGGTAAGTCCCCATCTTCCCTGTGCCTATCCATGAGAGTGAGGAAGTAGAGAATTATTGAAGACCCAAAGACCCACCTAGACAGGCCATAGTATAACCGTTTGTTTTAGCCCCTCTAGGGGTTCCTCACTCACAATGATCAAAATGGTAACCTCCCTGCCTGAACCAAAGCAAGAGCATATAAATAGAGTAGAGAGCATTGCTTATTCTGAAGGTGTAGAAGCCTCCCTGTATCCAGGGATTATTGCACCCACTTTGATAAAAATTTTATGTATCTGCCCATTTAACATCATAACAAATCTGCCTAAGTTTAATGTAGTTCTCACAGAAAAACAAATAAACATCGAGCTAGTCCAAATAAACAGTACCTACTGGTGTTTGACTACCCAGACAGATCACTCCATCTTACCTCTCTACATATCCGTCTGTACCCCCACCGGACGATCCTGACCGCTGATGGAATGCGGCTCTATCGCACTTCGGCAGTAATAAGTAACTTAACATGAGATCTTAAGTAGCACAGCGGAAGTAAGTACCAAGAGGAGGGTTTACTGGCCCTGCAGGCAAAGATCAAGGAGTTGGTGGCCAATGCCCAAAGATATATCGGAAATGGCCGTCTAAGGTACACACAGATAGAAAAACACCGTGAACCATGCCAAACACCTACCTCTGAAACACTCAACCAGGCAGTAGAGGTCAAACCTAAATCATGAGCAGCGCCTTCACCGGCGAAGAAATACCCTAGGAGTGGATTTAAGTAGTGTTTTGCCAAATTATGTGGGGAGTTTCAATCATAACATTCATACTGGTACTAATATTGTGCCGTCGCTTCCAGCGTAAAATAAACACCCTAAAATTACTGTATTTGACCTGGCGGGTCAGAGAACCCTAAGGTCAAAAGGAAGGAACTGTAGGGCAAACTGAGGCAGCCCTAAATGTGCTAGTAGGCCTCTAAACAGCATAACTCCATTCTAGGATTAAAGCCTGGGAACACCACAGTCAAGATAAGAACTGCAGACAGTAAAAGACCCTGGGCACCATAGCAACCACGTTCTAAAACACTCGAACTGGGTCTCAGTTGGTAACGTAACACATTTTGCTTGAGATAACATTCATAAAATTTGCTTAAACTGTCTTGCTTCACTCCTAGATAATAAGCCTGAGAACCAAGTGCTGCACCACATCAAGGCCATACCCGCCTCCTATAGCAACATCATCATCTATGGAGACTAAAATGTTATTACTGTTTTGCTGACATGTTTTGGCATTTGAACAATAACCACCTGTATATTAATTAACGAGCTGTTACTTTGCAATGGGCGGAGATATTATGTAATCTTTAGTAGTTCTATTGGCTTATGTGCTCATTTCGTCTTGCTGCTAGACCTATCAAATCATTTTTCCTCCGTCCACCTGCTGACTATATAACCTATTGTATAGTGTTAATTAACCAGTGTTCACCAGGGTAACCCCTGCGTGTCACTCCATCAGCTGATGTATAATAAATCCTCCACTTGTTTTCACCTGCATCCAGAGTGTCCTGGCTTATTTCCAACACAGTCCCTTCTCAGCAAGCAGTACATGGAAAGCCAGCCTTCAAAGCAGCAGCTGCTGAATAGTGAGGGTGCCAGCAAGGTGACTGCGAGCTGGATCTGGTGGCTTGGTGGGCTGGATCCAGTCTGCTAGCCATCCCTGATCTTAGGGGTTGGCTATATGGGAAAATCAATCAGCAGTAGTGTTATACTGCTGAAGTCATGCCAGGATAACTGCCCAGATGAAGACACTATTCTGAAATAAAAGTAATTTTATTCCAGTATAAATTCTCTGCTTTGATATAATAGGGAGTTACAACAGCATATCTATCCTGGTTTAATTATACTGGTATAATCCTGCTAATCCATTTTCACATATGCACTACACCAAACCTAAAGGAGTCCTTCTGTGCATGTTCTGGGAAAATTTAGGCTCAGCGATTTAGAAAGAAGGCCTGGGACATGAGGGTTGATACTGGGAGAATATTATCCATTACACTTTCCCAATCTTCCTCAGATGGAGAATCCCAAACATTCTTTCGAAAAAGCCTCTTTCGAAAGAGAGTGTCTATACTATAAGCAGATTTTTCTAAAAAGTGAGCTGCTTTTTCTAAAGAGAGTCTAGATGCTCTCTTTCGAAAAAGCATAGTTTGCATTCAATAGCACCTTTTTTCAAAAGAGAACTTTCAAAAAAAGGTGTTATTCCTCGTAAAATGAGGTTTACCGCGATCAAAAAAACTGCTGCATTCTTTCAATTTACTTTTGAAAGAATGAGGCTGCAGTCTAGATGCAGATGAAGTTTTTTAGAAAAAAGGCCACTTTTTTCGAAAAAACCCTATAGTCTAGACACACCCATATGATGCTGATTATCTTCACAGATAATCTCTCTCCCAAAAATGTTGTTCCGGAGCAGTGGAAGATAAGAAGGTATTGAAGCATGTTGCCTTCTATCCAAAGACCATTTTTCAGGAGATCTGAAAATTGGGAGGCCAAACCCTCTGCCATTTTATTAGTATGGAAACCCACTCAGAACATAGTTCAGAGAAAACACTTATAATGGGCAGTCAAGACATCTCTCTTCTTGTATGCAGGTTTTTTAAGTTGAGGGACAAACTAGCTCACTATGTTTACCTACATATAACACTAGAATATTTACCTGGCATTGCTCTAGTCCTTAACTCAATTAATTTTTGTTTGTTTGGAAAATAAAATGAAAATGTACATGCTTCATTTAAATCATTGCTCTGGGGTGGGGCTGGAGGATGAGGTGTTCCGTATGTCCAGGTGAGAAATTCTTTTCCATGGCTGCTGCAGCTCTAACAGGCACAGTTGGGGAGGGGTATATGTCCTCTCAGCTGGGGCAGGTCCAAGTTTGTCTGCCCCCAGTGCTTTCCAGCCAGAGTGAGGAATGCAGTGAACTGTGCACTTTCCCCTTGCTCATGACGAAGGGGAACAGCCAGAAATGTCTCCCTATGATTTGGGGGGAAAGCTTCAGCCCCCCCCCAAGGGTACCTGGCGGATTGGAGTCTTGGGGCTGGGACAGTCCTGGAAAGGGGGGGTGCCCTCAGCCAACCCCTTTCAGCTGCCTGCTGATTCTGTCTCTTTTCTGTGTGGATTTCTGAGAAGTAATTCCATTTCAGGCACATCCCATTTTCTGGCACAATCAAACCTTTGCTTCAAGTTACGATAGGAGGAAGCTGTATACCAACTTTGGTGGTCCTAGCTCTTACCATTTAGGAAGAGTTCTTGAACAAACAGACAGACTCTCTCAACTATATAGAAGATTTCCCATCTTCAGTGTTAATATTAATTAACCACACAAATGTTAATTAATCCATCCGGCCTCCTCTATCATGTCTTAAAGGTAAGTATTATTATTCTAATTTCATATTTGGGAAAATGAGCACAAACAGGTTAACTGATTCACACAAGGCCAGGCTGTGAATCAGAGTCATTTACAGTATTAGAACTTGGAGTTTCTGGCTCCCTTTCCCATGTCTGTTGATTGACCATTTATGTTTACCTTAAAAGATTGGCTTTTGTTCATTAAAAAAAAATTAGACCCTAACAGATCTACTACAGGTTGGAGACCTCCCTTGTCTGGCAACCTCGGAACCAGACCAATCCCAGATGAGGGATTTTGCTGGACCAGGAGAGGTCATTTCTGCCCCCCCACATCTCGCCAGCCTTGTCCCAGCCACCTGCTGAAGCCTGCCGCCAGCCCCACTGCTCTGCTGGTCCCTCTAAGCAGGCCTTCTGGGGTGTCTCGCTGGGCAGCCCAGCTGCAACACACCGGACTCCCAGCCCTGCCAGGGCATCAGGCTCCCACCCAGCACAGCAGCCCAGCTGCAGCACACCACACTACCAGCCTCACCAAGCAGTCCAGCTTCAGTGCACCAGGCTCCCAGGCCCCCTGCCAGCTAGCAAGGCTCCCAGCTGCCAGCCCTCCATCGGGGCTCTCTGGTCTTGGAACACGTTGCTGAATCAGAGTGTCCTGGTTTAGAGAGGTTCAACCAGTATCTTAACATAGGAGCAAATCCTGAAGTCCTTATACCTTATTCAATCCTTATTCAGGCACAATTGCCTTTGAAGATAGATGTTTTGCCTAAGTAAGGACAGAGCTAACCATGAACAAGGATTTCATTATTTGCTGAATAGTTTTTCTTGTAAGTTGATCTTTTCCATTCATAAGCATAGAATTTTGCTTATAATTTACAGTCTTCCTGGCAGTAAGCAAGGTTTTAGGTTTTATACACAATAACCATTTGTTTTGAAAATGTAATTTAACATTCCTTACCTGTTGTTTCTTTGTGATCTCATTAGACATTATTTTAGCAGAGTCTAACACCATGATAGCACTCTCATCTTCAAGAATGTTTCCTTCGGAAGACTGTAAGGTTTCTAAAATTTTCTTCTCAATTTCCTTTAGTTGTTTTTTATTGGCTGCAGATTGAAGGATGAGAGCATTCCTCTCCTCTTCTAATTCTGGTCTAAAAAGCAAAACATACACCAAGTTTATCTTTTATGCTACTATTTTTATGTGTTCAGATACCTGAATGTAGTTATTCCATATTTCTAACATTAATATTTACCTAATGTAGAGCACATTGTTCATGTTATATGATCATGTAATACTGGTATCACAGAAACCTTGCCTCTTGATTTGTGTAGGTTTGTGTCAGGTTCTTAGAATTCCATTAATGCAGTTTTTACCATTGAGCTATACAGTTATACTATACAGGCAGTCCCCGGGTTACGTACAAGATAGGGACTGTAGGTTTGTTCTTAAGTTGAATTTGTATGTAAGTCGGAACTGGTACATATTGTAGGGGAAACTCTAGCCAAACATTTCTCCAGAGCTCAGTTTTATTCTCCCACACCTCACTTCCCTCAGGGTATTATTCTCAAACTGAGGTGTCTGCTGAGAAAAGCTGCTCCGCATCTCCCTGGTCTGCTGGGGG